GTAGGTCTAGTATGTTCCAACTCCAGGGTCATTTATTGTGAAGCCATTTGTCAAAATTTCTCAGAAATATTGATGTCTCACAGACAAGATTACTTTGAGAACTTGCCACTTACTCCAAAGAAATAACTACATGTAAGCAGGACCCTATTGTTCCCAATTCTCTACATGTAAGTTGTTTCCTGGAATCTGCCCAAACTCCTCTATACTCTCTGACTGGGCCACAGAAATAGAAATCATTTTAAAAAGCAAATCCCCCAACATATTCTTTTGACATCTTGGTTCTAGTTGGAGCAGAAAATAAAACCCCCATGCTTAGCCTCTGATACAAAACCCACCACTCTACAATTTGAGATCTGGGCCAAGAAAACAACCAAGTCAGTAAGAATCAGGAAGTTACAGGCTCCTTAATTCCTTCCCTCCCTGATTCCTTCCTTCTTTCTTCCTTTCTCTCCTTCTTTCCTTCCTCCTTTTCTCTTTCCTTCCTTCTTCTGTCCTTCCTCCCCTCTTTCCTTCTTTCCTTCTGTCCTTCTTTTCTTCTTTCCTTCCTTTCTTCCCTTCCTCCTTCCCTCTTTCCTTTCCTTCTTTCTTCCTTCCATTCTTTCTTCTTTCCTTTGCTTTGTTTTTATACGTGTGTTCTTCAGTGTGTTAGTATTTGGTCAGAAAAGTGTGACATGAATTCTAAAAGGTCTTTCCAAAGGTGTCTAATTACTTTTTAATTTGAGATTTTGTTCTATTTATGTGTAAACAGCAAGAAAAGAAATATGCATATTTCTTAATGCTTACAGTGAACATCTCAATAAACAATAAAGTAAGACTTTTCATATAATATAGTAAATGTGTGTGAGGTGCTTACATGGTATCCACTTTCAGTTTAAAAATAAATTTTAAAATTTGGGGAGGGGAGAAAGAAGGAAGAGTGATTACAATAAATGCCTTGGTATGTCTGCATGACTTTTAGATAAACTAGAGTGGTTAAAGAAAACAGCTTGATCCAGGTGAAGTGGTCACACACCCCTAATCCCAACTGCTAGAAAGGCTGAGGCAAGAGGGTGGAAGTTTCAAGGCCAGCCTAGGCAACCTAGAAAGACCCAGTCTCCAAATAAAAACAAATTTTAAAGGGGGGAAGGCTGGTATTGAGGATGTATCTCAGTAGTAGAGTACTTATCTACCATGAGTTCAATCCCAGCATGGCAAGAAGGAAGGAAGGAAGGAAGGAAGGAAGGAAGGAAGGAAGGAAGGAAGGAAGGAGATAGAAAAGGGTAAGTAGAATCTCATGGTCTTCCCCTGGGGAAGTTAGCGTGCTGACTGGGCTCCTCCCATGACTAACTGGAAGGCCTGCAAGAGGGTCAGGTCTTTGTGCCCTATTACAACAGGCCCACTCTCTTGTTAGCAACCATGACCACTGTTTGCAGTGCCTGTTGTTATCAATGACTTTGTCTTTTTCTCTTCAAAAGCTGACTTTGCTCCCAGTTTGCCAGCTTCCCTGGGATCCTGGCATGCAGACTAGATTATCTGTGGCTGGTCTTCCCAGCAGTCAGACATTAAAGGATATTGCTTAAAGCTGTGCTTTAACATGACTTTTTTATTTCTTTCGGGATCCCCACTTTAGTTTATCAAATAGCAGTTACAAAGAAAGTCAGCTGATGTTATCACCCTCATCATCATCAGGAAAAGAATTTATTACAAATACAATTAATTGGCCAGATACCTTTCCTAAGTACCCTTGAGAAAATACACATAGTTGAGTCTTATCATGAACTCTGAAAATTCATTATTCATTCATTCAACAATTTATTATATATTTATTAGCCCTTAATAGGTGCATGGCACTGTGCAACATGCAAGGATACAGTGATATGCAAGGTAACAAGATCCTTGCTCTGACTCAATTTAAATTCTATGGGACAACAGTGAGTACATACAAATAAAGCAATGAAGAGTACAAATGCTAGTACCAAGTATGCTTAAATGGAAATTAAAACAACCTCCTATGAGAAGAATATATGGAATATCTTCATAGCTGGGTGTTTTAGAACTTCTTCCCTTAATAAACCTTTCCTCCTTAGAGCTGTGTGTATTGAGTATTGTGTTCCAGCAATGAGGAAACTAACTAAGATATCTTTTATGGATATTTTAGCTTTCACCACAGAATCAGGACCTTCCTTTACAACACAGAAAAGGGTTTTTAACCTGGCAGATTCATAAAGGATTTCCCTGAATTTGCATGCAAAATAAACTATATTTGGTTCATATATGCAATCACTCAAGAGAGTATCTAGCACTTGCATCAAATTCTTAGAGGGCTCTGTGACCTACCCACCACCCAAAAAAGGTACAACCACTTAGACAGATTAATCTAAAGTAGACCATAGCTCTGGAATTTTTAAAAAAGTTGATGAACATTTTTTTTCTTCACACAGAGCTTCAGTTTCTTTTTTCTGCACTTACACTTAAAAATTGGTTTATAACCCAACATTTGTGTTTAATTACCTATTTCAAGATCCTAACAACATACACTTTTAAATATCAACAAAGTAAATAAAGGACAAATATGTCTTATTCAGTTGTCAGCTACAACTAGAATAGGGTAAAAGGAAGTCAGAGTAGGTTGCTGTCTGCAGGTCTTTTCATGAGTCATGGGACAAGGCAAGGCTGTTCCCCACTGTGATCCAGCAGCAGAGAAGATTGACAGAGTGTAAACTGAAAGACCTAAAGAACAGACCATCATCAGAATTGCCTGAGGGTTTTTAAATCTAAATTATGAAGACTGGGTGTAAAAAGTAGGTATGTGAGTGGCAATCTCTTAACTTTTTTGTACGTTTGAATTTTTTATAATAATAAGTGGGGGAAGTAACTTTAAGCACAAGGTTATGTTACTTGCCTCTATCCCTCCACCTGCCCATGTGATTATGATTCAATACATTTGCAGTGGAAGCATGCATGTATGTGTATTTTGAAAATTAAAAGAAAAATATCCTCCTATGATTTTAATATACACACCTTGAAAAGAGACAGTGGCTAACAGTGGAAAAAGGTTCCTCTGTGCACAAATCAGCCTCTAGTATATGCAGCCCTTTTTCAGCCTCCCTCTTACTTTGAACTCCTCTTTGCTCCTCCCAGGGTAGTAAAATGGCATGGTAGGAAAGAGAGGTGAAGAATACCTAAAACAAACTCTCTGTTCTGTCCACGGACAACTACCAACTTCTTTTTTTAATTCATTTTATTGGTACATTTTAGGCATATAATACAGTTACATTCATCATTGGAAATTTTCACCTTTACATAATCTCTCTTGGTTCTTATTTTTCACCCTTCCCCTGCCCTCCCTTCAACCCCTCCATCCCTCCCTATTTACAAAGACTTTGTTTCCATTTATTCATTTTCTCATATTAATTCCATTCCCTTCTTTCCTTTCCCCTACCCCTCCCACTTCCCCTTCCCCTTTGCTCCTTTTCTTTCTATTTCACATTATCTATTATTATTATTATCTATTATTATTAATATTATTATTATTATCTCACCAACTTCTACAATCTCAGTAAAAAAAAAAGGGACAGATCCAATAAGAAACTGATATGATAAGTGGCATTTCATAACAAACTCTGGTGATCCTGCAGTTGCCTATGGTCAACTATAATTGCAGTCAACCATATATAGGAAAATAGAACATGTTTGAGAAAGCCATTTCTTTTTAATAATGAGCTATACATAATTATACTATGAAATATTCTACAAATGAAATAATTCCCTTGAGCTGTTTGAGATATGCTGATATTGATTCATTTCATTTCATTTTAGCATTAATATTATTCTTCTTTGCAATATGTCTGACTTACTTAGGGAAGAGATGTATTCATCAAGACATCACTCAATTAGGAGTGCAAAAGCTGGATTTCAGGCTGGGCTTTCAGAAGTAAACCCCTTAAGATGATAATTCTCATGAATAATTTATTATGGAAGTGTCTTCAGAACAATACAATACACAAATGAGGGAAGTCAAAGAGAAAAAAATGACTTAAACAAAAGTGCAAATTCATACAAAGCCCTTCAGCTTGATCCTACTAGAAAACTACAGAATATAGTGTCTGTGTTTATCCCAAATGAAGGAAAAGAAGGTTCCTTGCCCCTGGCCAGTTGCTCATTGGTTAATAGCCATTAGGAAGCAATAAAATTCTCAAGCAACTTTCTTTGGCTACCTGAATCTAAAAACAAAAACAATTCCGCTAGCCTGAAGGCAGGCCTCTGAAGAAAACCTCAAATGCAGGCTGTGAGGCAAAAGCACTTAGTGGCCAGGTTAGGGATGCACAGAAATGGGAAAAGGACCTAAAGGCAACAGGTTAAACATTGACAGTGTCCATTAGGGTCCAAGAGTACAACACTCCACCCCATCCATTGATGTCTCATGTTAAATTTACTCCTTTCTGTTGTACCTTATCAAAGATGGCAGTGGGTCACAATTTCTGAGGAAAAAAATCTGACGACAGAAAAGGTAAACCCATCAACTGTTATGGTTGGTATGTTTTGTAATTTCTTCCTTTACCACTCGTTGTAAAGTCCTCACATTCACGGCAGGCACTTCCACTAGTCTAGAAAGCTTATCTGGTGAAGTAACCCAGACATTCATCTTTGAGGGAACTGAGATCTTCATTACCATGCCCTTCTCAGACGATAGTTGTACTTTCCCATTGACAAAACTAGACATAGAGACAATAACAGACAACTCAGTGGACTATTATCAGCAAAGTAGCTAATATAAGAGACATATAGCTTTGGCTTACTATGTGTACTTTCTAACCTTGAAATCAGTCTGTCAAGATGGACAGATGAGTAGATGAATGAATGGGTGATGAAAGGACAGATAGATATCCATAGATATTACCATAGATTGATAACTATTGAAATGAATTATTAAGGGGGAACATATTCCAATTTCTAAATGTTTATGCACTACAGTTCCCAGATGGAGGCTTTATTTTTCCATGTGTCTTTGTCATTTTCCTTCTCTGTATTACCACCTGGCGCCCCTTTGTTCCTCAGCCTGGCCCCATAAGAATGCAAGTTGCTTGGCAACTGATCCATGCACTCAAGTGACGCAAGGAAATAACCCTAGTTCCTAGGATGGTGCATGATCCAAGTTATTATAGTAAGCTCTAGTGTTTACACCTAAGCCTGAAAAGATAATCCGTGCTCACAGTATTTCCATTGCAGCCCATGAAAAATCCACATACAAGCCAAAAAAGGTAAGTGAGAGCAACATGGCCTGTTCTTTCTTTCAAAAACTATTAATTTGAAAAATATATGAGCAGATGCTGGAGCAAGTTAATCAAATGCTGAAAAGGTCCTTGGTCAAATGTAACCAAGAAAATGTGTGAATGCTTATAGACCAAAAAAGAGGGTAATTAATAGATACTTTCAATATTCTAAATACTAGGAGTCACATAATCCATAAAATATGACTGAAATGCTGTATGTATATGTATCTTTTCTTGAAATGTTCAGACTTTTCAACCTACTGCTTACAAATACATACAAACATACCTACACATATGCCCTTCTAGCTGAAGTTGCTGTTTTTCACACTTTCAGAGAATAATAAGACACAGAAAGGAAAGTGGTGTATAATCATTTGCTCAAAAGTTTTAGGGCTCACAGAGCTAGAGGCTGAAGTCGTCTCTAGTATTATGAGGCATAGAAAACAAACAGGGCCCATTGGTTTATATGGACAAATGGCCACCAGCACATAAATCTCCTGAGCAAGACACAGAAAATGAGCTTGAAGCACTTTTGTTCCATTACAAAATGCATTGTGTTTTCAGTGTACTGAGAGGAAAAGCTCCCACACAGAGCACAAAGGCCAATTTCACCTCAATAGGTCCACTACAACTAAAAATTGTTTATAATCATTTTTTTTCCATTAAGAGGCATGTGCTATGTGCAGGAATTCTTCATAAAATAATTCTTCTTTCATAAAAATTCATCTTTCTTCTAAAATTTAGCTATTGGAACTCCTATAGTATATAAAGATTGAGCAAAACACAACCTCTTCATTTGGGACTAAGCCCAGTGCCTCACACAGGCTTTGAAAGTGCTCTACTACTGAGCCACATCCCCAACTCTCTTTATTGTTCAGTAATATTTAAAAACATAAAGTATTGAGTGAGTGAAGCTCAGACACATCTACAGAAGCTTTTCTAAAACAAATGAATTGATGCACAGTAGTAGAGGGCCATTAGGACACAGTCTCCAGGTCTAAAGTGTTGAAGTTCTATTTTAGAGGGAGCAATGATTTCCTTAATTTAATTTTACTTTTTAAAGTGTTGTGCAATAATGAAATCTTCCTTGTATTCTGTAGTAAATCTCACCCAGAATCAGACAACACAACCAAGATATTTTACTCTGAATTAAGAAACTGAAAATGTATATACTGATGTTAAAATAATCACTTTTTTCTCTCAACTAACACATTGATAAAGTTTGAAGAATCATGCTCAATACTGCTGAGGTGCCAGAAAGGTCATTCTCATGAACTAAACTGAAATGAGTTGTTGAAGACAATGTGTCAATATGCATCAATATTTTTTTCAATGTTTACATCATTTAACCTAGAAAATCAATTTCTAGGAATTTACTCTTAGCAAATTTGGATACTAAGACACAGCTGAAAAGATGCCCATAGAAAGCAGTTTATAATAATAAGCTTAAAAGGAAACAACTTGGCTCTCATTCAACAAAATTTGTGCACACATACCATGGTTCAGACACTCTCTTGAGAATTCAAGGATAAATGATAAATTTTTACAGTTCTATGTATTTGTGGAGCTTACACTCAAGTGAATTCGGATACTGAATGTCCCCCAAAAGCCCATGTGTTAAAGGCTTTGTCCCCAGATGACTATCCCGTTGGGAGGTGGTGGAACTTTTAGGAGGTGACCTCTAGTACTAGAAGGAGGACAGGTCATTGGGAATGTGTCCTTGAACAAGATATTAGAACCCCAGCCTCCCCTCTGTCAATCTCATTGCTTCCTATCCTCCACACTGTGAAGTCTCCCTCCACTACACACTCCTGCTATGATGTGTGGTGCTGCACCAAGCCCAAAGCAAAAGGACCAAGCAACCATGGACTGAAGTAAATCTTTGAAACCATGAGCCCAAATAAGTTCATTTTCTTTTTTTTAAAAGTTATTTGTGTCAGGTATTTGTCACAATGACAGAAACCTGACTAACACAGAGGGAAACAGACATTTGAAAGCACGCCCCTACTTAACAAGAGAACAGGAGCAGTTGATGGAATTGACACGGACTGTTGAGATGGGATTCAAGGGTGAATCCAAAGATTTTGACCTGAACAAGTGAGTGAACCACACAGGTGAATCTGTAAGAAGGAAATTATCATGTCTTTCGACTCTGCACTGTATCCCTTGGAGAAAAGAGGTAATGAAACTCATTCTCAGATAAGTTTGAGTGTGACTAAAGAAAGAGGAGCTATGTGCCTAATTTCCCAGGGAAGCCTGCGGAAACAAGTGTCATTGGGAATTCTGCACACATAGAACCCTGAAGGGGCAACTGGGCTGCTCTAGGCCCATCTGGAGGGTAGAAAGAGAGACAACTGCAGGGCCGCCAAAGATGTCTGTCTGAGGAAGAATGAGGAAACTCAAGGTATCTGGTGGTCCAGAAAAAGTGGATCAAGGGTAATTTACAAAGGCCTGATGACTGTGTGCCATAGCAGGGAGTGGTGAGTAAAAAATCAAAAGGAATTCAGAAAGATCAGCAGATGCCAACATAGTGAGGTTGGAACTGGAGGTCTTTGCTCTCTCATGTCATAGCACAGCTAAGCCCCCAGCCCTGCTATTGCCAATATCCAGCACAAGAATAAAGATAAAGAAGAGAAAGCCAGGACTGTGTTCACCTCTGGAATGTTTAAATATCACTGAGTTGACCATTTAGCAAAAGAACCAAATCAACCACTCAGAATAATAAAGGTCCAGATAAGTCTAGGTTGAGTTATAGAAAATTAACATTACTCCTTTTCCTTCTTTCCTTTTCTTCTTTCTTTTTTATTTTTTGCATAATGGAGTTTGAGACTGATAAAACCCACACCCGGGGTACAGAGTCCAAATATCATCCAGGTGCTCTAGGGTTGGGGTCCCAGGAAAGACCAGTTTAACAACTGCCCCCCTAACTTTTTGAGAATAATAAAGTGGCAAAATTTGAGCTTACTCTCCTTTGAGTCTTCAGAACCTGCCAAGGAGAGGGCACTGTGACATCTCTGGCTCTGCAGTCCAATGCCTCACTGCTTTCACCCCAACCAAATGGTCCAGCGCACTCTCAGTGGGGGCAGGGCTGGCACTCCTGTGTATGTTTGCCACCAGTGAGCAATGCTTTCATAGGAAGAAATTTGCATGACTCAACACTTGACAAAAAAAATAAACTGATTTATACGAAGTGTCAGTACTTTCCACCGTAACAGAGGATTCTCCTGCTTGTAGAGAATGTTTCCTCCTTCTGTGTACAGAACGTCCACAGTGAGAAGGAGAATCATTAGGCTAGTAAGGGTTAATAGAAATTGCCCCAAAGATATCGCAATTTTTTTTAGCTCTAGCTCAATACTAATCTAGTAGAAGGCAAGGCTTATCTCAGGGTCAGATCATCTCCACTTATACATTAGGAAAATGGGATTTTGATTTTTCAGTAAATCTGGAGTAAAGTCAGTGACTACAAATAAATACACCTCCCGCCCCTCCCCACAGTCAGAAACATCTGCAGAGCTGACTACCAGAATGAGCCACGCTTACCTCCAAAGTCAAGCACATTGGCACTTCGCGGTGGATCATTTTTACCGTGAAAGTTTTTGGACAGGAAGACAAGTGGAGCCCCCTAGAACACCATTTTAAAAAGGGCCTCACAGCAGTTGGAACCCTGGAGTTTACGATGATAAGAAGCCTAACCACAGAACACAATCTCAAATGCTAAAGCAGCTGACGCTGATTCCCTTGCTCAACAAAGACCTAAAACACTCAATGCCATCTTAAAAATCTCAGCTTCATTTCTGACTTGACTACTCTAAAATCTCATCATTAAAAATAGAAAGGGATGGATGCTAGAATAGTATATCAAGCTGAACTTCTTCTGATAACCTTGATTATAGTTTTACTCACCACATACTTATTATTAAAACTTTTGTGCCAACCAATACCTTTAGAAGGAAATAGTTCATTATGTATCACAAAACTTGTTTTCCAACCTAGTAGGAGATGTTCACCCACTTTAAATTTACTCCAGGGTGAGGTGGAGATGTGTTCTTGGGTTGAAAATTCATTTCAGAGGGATCTGTGTAGAAAGTACCAGTTCAGCTAGACATTTTAAAAAGTGTAACTTTCCAGATGTCAGTTTTTGAGCTTCTGAAAAAATGGAAAATAAGACTTAAAGCTATGATACAACTATCAGTGATCCAAAACTCACTTTGTACATACACAGTACCATCCTCACAAGTATTTGATCATACAGCCATAGAGGGTATTCGATGAGAGTTCTAGGCTGTTGAGGTGTCTTACTTCATCACAGACATACAAAGTTGCATGTGGGGTTTTTTGTCTGTTTATTGGCTTGTTCTTTTCTACTTCAGGGAGCTTCAGTTTGAGACAGATAAAGCCCACACCCATTTTTCTTTTACAGTCAAATGAGGACATCAAATTAAAACATTAATTTAAGAGACAGATTGGCAGGAAATTCCAAAGCTAACTTTCTAATTACAGTTTTAACTTTCCCATGACAGATATTTTCTGTACCAGTTAGCATCTTGCATGTGTAGCTTTGTACCACGAGCCAGATTCGGACCTCAGTCACACTTGTTTTATTTTTACTGAAAATGTAAGGGAGAGCGATGAAGAATCAAAATAGGGCCAAAGGCCAGCAGGCTGGAAAACAAATGCTGAAGGAGAAGGTGATGGGAGGCACGCAAATATGGGAGGCTGGGGAAGGAAGTACAATCCCCAGATGGTGCTGTGTTAGTAAATGTGCAATTGCATTCAAGATTTCTTAATATGCACATTTTCATGTACTTCTTTTCAAGTAACTATTAAACAACAATTTTAACCACATTTTTGTTTTGTTTTTGTTTTTGTGTTATATAGAACTTGAGCGTTTGGTTCTCTTTGATTTCACCTCTTGCTTATAAATCTTCCAACCAGTCATTAACTGCTTGTAAAGCCCTGGCACCTCATATATTGTCACTTAATTATGT